AGGAACAAGGATAAATGTGCCTCTCTTTAGGGAGGACGCGCCTCTTTGCATATGTAATTCCCTTTTCTTGTCTCAACCCTGAAAAGCGAAGATTTCTGTCAGTTTTACAGAGGAGAAGCTGCAGTCTCAGGGAGGTCAGGCGACTTGCTTGGTAACGGGGCTGGTGGCTTAAATATAAGTGTCCTGGCGCACACTAACCGTATAGCTAAGAAGCAGTGAGCTGTAGCCCTCCCCTGTTTATTGGGTTTCCCATTCATCTTATTCACCTAACACTTAGAGGTCCTTAAAAACATCTCAATTATAGAAAAAATTAACACCATAGAAATGGAGACAGAATAATGACCCCTTCGAGGCCCTTTTAATTCAGCCCGGGATCAGTTGCATTTACAGCTGCCAAAGGTTGAGGGCACTGAATGAAAGGCAAACATGAACTTGGTGGTTTCCTTTTCTTTCTTAAAACAAAAAAGAGATTCAGGGCAAATTTTAGAATCATTGACAGTTTCTAGGAAGATTTTCTTTTTTGGAAGAAAAAAGGTACTCTTGTCTCCTTAATTGTTCTAGGCGTTCTTTGTCACCAATCATGATATTCTTTGTGGAAAGTATTAATATACCATCTTCCTGTGTTCAATATTCCCATTAACAATAAAATGTCTAATGAACATATCTGCCTGCAAAGCCCTGAGCACTAATTTCAGAGACAAATAAAAGATGAACCGATAAGTATTTCTTTTAAAGTGAATGATGCAAATTAATTGATATCTTAATGAGGCTTCAGGACGAAGATTCTGAGTTAGATGGAACCAGACAGAAAAATATCTTGGAGGAAAAGCTGAGGAGGTAGGTGGGGGAGAAAGGTGTTACCTGTCAATATTGTGTTAGAAATCTTTTTTGCTCAATGACGTTTCAAAGAAGAGGCCAAGAAGGACAGCATGCGTTATGTATGGGTCACTGCTGCTCTAGTCTGGCCGGGTTTGGGGACTGAAGTCTAGTCTTGTTCTTGAGCTAATGTGAGCCCATAAGTATAGGCTGTCCCACCCCTAGGGAGCCCCCAGGACCTTTGGAATACCACCACTGTGCCGCAGACTCCTTCCTTGGTCTCTCCAGATTAGAGCCCCTATACAGGCAGAACCTTCCTCTATTTTGTTTGCATTTGTAACCCTAGGGCTACCTATACACCCACCTTACAGAGACAATAATAATATCACAGCAAGCAATTGTATAGGGCTTACTATGTGTTCTGAGTATTGTTCTGAGCACTTTACTTTAAAAAAAAAAACGAAACTCAGTTAAGCTTCATAACAATAGTGTGAGGTAGGGACTATTATTATCTCCACTTTACAAGTGAGTATACTGAGGCACAGAAAGGTCGAGTAACTAGTTCAGGATCACACAGCCAATTATGGTGGATTAGGGATTTGAACTATGGCAGTCTAACTACAGAGTCCTCAGTCTCAGTTTTTCTTTTTGTTTTGATAGGATCTTGCTATATGACTGTTGCTATAGTCTGTGATACAACCAGACTATACAACCAGTTTCAGAGTCTTGGGCTCAAATGATCCTCCTGTCTCAGCCTCCTGAGTAGCTGGGACTATTGGTGTGCACCACCATGGCTATCTAGAGTACTTTCCTTTAACCACTGTACTATATTCAATGTATATTTCTTGAATTGAATGAATAAATGGGTACCATGAACGCCTAGTCCCTACTGTTGAGCCTCTAACTTCTAGTTTGTATTTAAGTTGTCCACAGATTAGATATTTAGCCTACTTTACGCCAAATACCACAAGTCGCTCTTTGTAGAAAGGGTTGGACAAGCTACCGATGTTTCCTGTATTCCTAAAAACTGGTTGCTGTCCTGTTTCAAGCTAGACAGCCTGTCAAAAAATTTACTTCTACTGAGAGATTCCCCTGGCTCTGGCCTGGTCCACCATCTAATCCATCCTAGACCCCTAATATCAAAGCCAGCCTAGGTTGCACCAAGATTTTTTCTGTGGTCATTGTGAATCCTAAGGCCATTGCCACACCATGTCTGCACTGACTTTCTGGGCTGCTTGGATAATGAGAACCTGTAGGGTGTAGTTTTATGAGGTTCAAAACACTTAGCAGGTGTGATTTGTTTGGCAAGACAGTGTTCCCTGAGGAGAGTTCCCTGGCAGCAACTGGCTATAAAGGTGGTCAGAAGTAGAGTCGGTGGAGGGAGGCGGCACCTGTGGCTCAAAGGAGTAGGGCGCCGGCCCCATATGCTGGAGGTGGTGGGTTCAAACCCAGCCATGGCCAAAAACTGCAAAAAGAAGCAGAGCCCTGGGAGTAAGTATGAGGAGGGGTCACTAAGGTTATGTTTCCCACCCTACAGAGGGGCGTGGTAGCTCCATGTCCCAGTGGGGACGATGAGGGAGATAGAAGAGACGGCATGGTACAGAAGGAGGGGTGTGTGGTTTGGATTTGGGGCATGGACTGAGACTTACCTCCATAACCCAGTAGCTGAGAGGCTGCCTCATTCAACCTCTCCAGCCTTTGCCTGCCCCACAACAAAATGAGGACCACATCTAGTTCACAAAATGACTATGAACTTCAAAAGTTTCAAAAGTGCTTTTTGCTGAAAAGTTCTTCTACAAAGGAGTGATGTGAACAATGGCCAAGGCCTCCCCGCGCTGGACTCTGCAGTTTTCTGTCAAGCTGCTGACGCCCCTGGATGCGGGTTTCTTTCAAGGTCGAATGAAGGACAAGTTTGGCAGACATGGCCCAGGAATGTGCATTTTAACACGCTTGCCTACTGACTTGAATGCACTCTGCTGTTTCAGACCGACTCAGCAGTGCTGAACACGGACACAGAGGAAGTGCTCTGGCTTGAGCAGAGCCCTCTCTTCCTTTGGTCACAGTCCAGAACCTGAGACCTAAATGAAATTGGTTGACCCTGTCTTTGTGGCTGGCGGAATTTGGGGGCAGGTGGGCAAAGCCAAGTGGATGTAGCTGCCGCTTCCTGCTGGATGCTTAGATGAGGGGAAGAGGGGTGAAAATGTGACTGAAACTCAACCCGGCCAGAGCGGGAAGGCCAAGGGCTGTACCCGGGCAGGTGGTCTTAGTAAGCCCCATGGCTTAGCAGCCTTGCCTGACAGCTGCCACCTGCCAACTGCTCTGCTTCTAAGCTGGCTGCTGAGGCCAAACCCATGTCTACAGCATAGAGCTCAAGTGAGAGGTCTGTCCTGAGAAAGGAAGGGGGATGGTTAACAGGTGGGGGCTGCAGAGAGGCAGCCTCATGGGCCCAGGCCCCCCGACTCTGAAATCACCCTATCCATAACTGCTTTTGCAGTCTAGCCTCTGGAATGCCCAGTAGAGCCTTCTTGTAGGAAACCCTGGGTGTGTGGGGCAGACTGGCTGGGGACCTGACCTTGACAGCATACTCCTCTCTGAGCCTCTCACCCTCTGTGACTTCAAGGGAGGCCCAAGCCCAGAAAATGACAAAGCTCTAGACTGGGGGGAGATACCATTTATTTCCCTTTTGTGCCCTCTGGTTCCTTCCATGCTCTGATGGCTGGGCCTCCCTGGCTCTGCCCCTTTGCATGTTTATGGTGTTTCCTGTGCTCTTTGCCAGGCTGGAGAGGTGCGGCATATTGGAGACCAGCTCTGGCACTGCCCAAGAAGCTGCTGCTCAAGGCTTCCCTGAGGAAGCCCCTTCCAGTGTCATGACCAGGGCTGCCACTAAGGAGGGCTGAGGAGGGCTGTGCATCTGAGCTTCCCAGAAAAGGCCCAGGTTGCAGAGCTAGGGTTGTTGTGCGGGTAAATCCCCTCACTCCAACTCAGTGGCTGTGAGAGTCCCTGCCTGGAGAGTCAATAGCCAGTTCAGATTGACTCCCCTTCTTCTGCCCATTGGTCTAAAGGCAAAACACAAACTCCTTATATTCATGGAATTCTCTATTTTCCTAAGTGCTCTCAATGTGTTCCCCCACTGTCTGATCATGACAACCACACAAAGTCAGTAGCAATGTTCCCATATTACAGATGCAGGGGAAATCTCAGAGGGGTTCCTGGTGACCTGATAGAGGTCATTGAGTTGGTAACTAGCCAAGATCCAAATCAGACCCAAACTTAGTTTTTCTAGCTCTGAGTTCCACCATCCCACAGAGTTGATTCCTCTGCATGCTCTTTGCAAAGGCCACCTGTGGGTCTTCTAGGCATAGAATCGTGACTATTTGTGGCTGGTACTGACTTCCCCAAAGTACAGTAACAGGCACTCAGGAACAAGGATTCAATGATCAAGTGAGATTGGGAAATGAATGCATATTACATAGTTCATATTAGGAGAGTAACTCTCTAAATTTGAAATTGAAATGGGATTGATTTAGTTCAACCCAGAGCACAACTTGTTTGGCAGTAGAGACTCCCCCCACACACACACACATAATTGCCCACCAACAATCCACCAAAGGAATATACTCTGAAAAGGGTAAGACAGGCTCCTTTACAACTATTGTGACAACAAAGACACAAAGATAAGGGGCAGCCACTGTTCCCCGTACAAAGAAAAGGAAATTGCATGCCTCTTCCACATGCCTGGCCCTATGAGCAACCCTCACCAGTTCTGCAGCATGGACTATACAGAATCCCCTCCATGCCAGTAAATGCAGTGGTGCTGGAGTCCATTGTTAAAGTTTCAAAAACTGTGTGACTCAGTTTTTACACTATTGGTAGCTTCAACTTGACCATGGTGGGAGAATTTATTCCTATCATAAACAGCAACAAACACTAGAAATCAGGGCTTTCCCTCCTGCCCTCTTATCCTGAGAGCTGGTTTGCCAGTGTACCACTAGCCCTGGGACATTTTTGAAATTGTCAGAAAACTTGGGAGGGCTGTGACATCTGAGTGCCGGGGCAATCTGTCACAGAAGTGCTCACTCAACCTCGTCTCCAACCCCTTGAATGACAAGTGGAGAACTTTCACGGGATGATAACCTTCTAGCTACAACCCCACATGACCAGAAAGCACCTCTTGGCCTGCTTACCGTGATACCCGACACCAGCCAATGTCTCCAGAATTTCATTATGGGTTCTGACCTGCTAGGGGCATCCGGATCCACCATCATCAGGATATAGGTTGAGCCCTGTAACATACACACCAAAAAGTAATGTAGTATCCTGGCTACAAGTATGGCAGGGCACTGCCCAGGGGGTGGACTCTCTTTTGAGCATCATCCCAACCAAAAATGTGCGACCAGCCACTGTAGGTTCCCACCCAGTTAGTTCATCTTTGTTCTCATTCCTCTTGTGTCATGTGTTTATTCTCAGAGAAATGTAGCCTGTGAAATAGCAGGATATTTGGCTTTTCCCTTATTTAGGAAGAATAAACCCAACAGGCATATTTACTAAATACCTGGGAGTCCCTAGCACCATGGAGGAAACAAAGAAACCTCAAACAGGGCTTCTGTCCTCACGAAGCTTCCAACATAGTTGAATGGACTTATCTGTTAATTCGGCACACCTGTGAGAACTCACTCCAAGTGAGGAATTATACCAATCGCATTCATCCCCTTGAAAAGTTATTTATTGAACACCTACTATTGCCAGGAGCTGTCCCAGGTGCTAGGAAGCCAACAGAGAACAAGACAGTAAGAGCCACACTTTCAGGAAGCTTTGCTTCTAGGTAAGAGACACAGATGATAAAAATAGATAAATAAGCAAAGAAATGTCTAGATGTGATTACTGATATGATGAAAATAAAACAAGGTGGGGCGAGAGGTGGTAAGCATCCCAGGAAGCAGAAGCAGCTGCTACAAAGGCCTCCAGGTAGGAAAGAGGTCGGCTTTGAGGAACAGAAAGAGCACCTTTGTGGCCAGGGACATGCAAGAGGAAGAGCCAATGGCAGGTGCAAGAGATGGCCAGGACCAGGCCACAGGCTTCCTAGGTCTGGGTGAGAAGTGGGACTTTATTCAAAGCACAACACAAAATAATTGCAGGGTTTTAGGGAGGTCAGTAATAACCCTGATTTATGTTTTCAGGAGATTGTTTTGGCTACTGAGTAAAAAATTGATGTCTGGGCTCGGCATCTGTAGCTCAGTGGTAAGGGTGCCAGCCACATACACTGGGGTTGGCAGGTTCGAACCTTGCCTGGGCCTGCTAAACAACAATGACAACAACAACAACAAAATAGCCAGGTGTTGTGGCAGGCACCTATAGTCCCAGCTACTTGGGAGGCTGAGGCAAGAGAATTGCTTAAGCACAAGAGTTTGAGGTTGGTGTGGGTTATGACACCATAGCACTCTAATAAGGGTGACATAGTGAGACTCTGTCTCAAAAAGAAAAAAAAATTGATGGCTGGCAGGAGGCCAGAGAGAAAGCCAGGAGGCCAGCTGGGAGACTCTTGCAGTAGTATAGTGAGGGACGGTAGTATCTTGGGCTAGGGTGGTAGCAATGGAGATAGAAACAAATTGATGGGTTGGAGAAGTATTTTTAGATAGAATCAATAGTTTGCTGATGGACTGGCTAATAGAGCAGTGAGAAGGGGATAGAGAAAGAGAAACTGAACTGATGACTCCTGGGCTTTGGGCTTGAGCAACTGGGCCAGTTAGTGGCACAGAGAAAACTTGAAGAGCAAGATGCTTGAAGGGACAATTCAGTATATATGTCAGAGTCTGGAGTTTGAAGGAGAGATCAGGACTGGGTGTATGGATTTGGGAATCATTGACATGCAGATGGCCTATGAATCTGTAGGGCAGGCACAGAGAAGAAAAGAAGTCTCACAACTGAACTCTAGAACATGCTAACATGGAGAAGAGGGAGGATCTAGGAAAGGGGATGTGGAGCCCAAAAGGTGAGGGGAACACCTAGAGAGCAGGTGTCATGAAAGCTAAGACAGAGAGTGTCTCAAGGAGAAAAAAGTGACCAACTAGTGACAAATGCTGCTGAATGGCAGGGCTAAATGAGGACACAATTAAATTGCCACAAGTGTGGCAATCTGATTTGACAACTATCAAATAGTTGTCAATATAGGACCACCCTATCTTGAAAAGCCCAGTTTCAGTGAAGTAGAAAGGACTAAGATTTGACTAGAATAAGTTGAGCTGATATGGGAGGTAAGAAATTGGAAATAGCTACTAAAGATGCTAATAAGAAAGGAAGTTTTGGTATGGACAGCTGAGGCACAAGTGACTGGTACTAGAGAGAAGAAAGAGTCAAGAGTTTTGTTTTAAGAGATGTATGATAGTCAGGAATCTTCGTAGGCCAATGGAAATGATCTAGGAGAAAGGGCGGTATATGGCAGAGAGGGGAAAGAGGGTGGAGGGGATAGAACCCAGAGAGAAGGTGGAGGGCTAGATCTCTGGTAGCAGCAGAGGATACTAGTTCAGATGCAAGAGAACTGGCAGATGTGATGGTGAGAAACAAGGATCTATTTTCCAGTGAATTAGAGGCAAGGTCACAGAGGAAGAGGGATTATAGGAAGTTTGAGGACTGAGAAGAAGGTGTGAAATAGTCATTTAAGAAGGTGAGAAAATTAATATACATAGAAATGCAGTAAGGTCATTAGGTAATATGATGTTCTACAGTTGTGTACTATTTAGTTGTTCAAGAGCAGATGTGGAATAAGTGGTAGGTGGGATTAACTTGGATGAGGGGAATTCAGGCGTGTGGAGTATGGATTGTGAGGTGACAAGACCCCCACAGCCTGAGGGGTGTGTTCAAGGAATGGCCACAAACTGCTTCTTCTCTCTTCTTAAAACAACCATAGTCCTTTCTCCTTACTTCCTCTGCCAGAAGTCATCTAGCCTCTGTATACTATCCTATCTTTTGCCAAAAAGCACACAACCTTCACCCCCTGAAGTTAATCCTCACCCCATGTACTAAGATTCACATTACTAAGAATATTGTTTACCATAAAACTCCTTATACTTATCCAGTTACTTCTTCTCCGCCTTGTAAGATGAAAATATTCCCACTCCCTTTCCTTACTGATTTGCAACCTTGTTTTGGTACTATATAAATAAAGCTGTTCACATTGGTAGGTGCTGGCTGCAGTCATCAGCTGTGTCAGACCTTCCCATCCCAACTCTTATCTTTTATGCAATCTATGTTTCTTGTGTGATTTCTCAATTCCCCGCCATTCTCCCTCTAGTTCATTTACTCTTCATGCTGGTTTGCAAAAGGGGAGGCAGAAAGAGAAAGAAGAGAATAAGAGGAATAAAGACCTAGCTGCTCTCAACAGGGAGAGACAGGCACTCCCCACAGCTCCAGGATGTTCCAAGTGCTTGAATAGAGGAGCATCTACCAAGGACTGAGAGAACAAGGAGGAGGGAACCTAAATCTATCTCAGGAAGGCTCTAGAGCAGTGATTCTCAACCTTCCTAATGCCGCCACCCTTTAATATAGTTCCTGTGGGTCGCACACAGGTTGAGAACTGCTGCTCTAGAGTTATCTTTTGAGCTTGATCTCCAAGGCTGAGCAGGTAAGGGATCAGGAAACGGCCACTGTAGGTAATAGAAATGGCTTGTACAAAGGCATGGGGTGTTTTGGGGAAGGGCTAGGCCATAGGGCATCTGGAAAGAAGTGGTAGATGGCAAAGCTGTAAAGGTTTTGGGTGCCAGACAATAGAAAGCCTTGGGTGTCTTAAGTTGTTTAGAATTTATTATAGCACCAGGACCCACTGAAATAGTTTGACTAGAAAACCAATATCATTATAGGTGTCATGTGTACTGTAGGAAGGCATGTGATAAGGATGGAGTGAAAGATGAAACCAGAGCAAGAAAAAAAAAAACAACTTCAAACCCTAATAACTGTGATACTCAGAAAAATCACAAGGCCTTCAATTCTAAGAGCAGTAACAGAGATAAAGGAGAGAACCCACAGCCTGAGGTGACTGCCCAGGCAGGTGTGGGACAGGAAGAAGCCCAGCCTGAATATTGTTTGAGATTATCTCCAGTCGTAAGGATGATGGTACCCTGCATTAGGAATAGTAAAGCCAGGAGGACAGTAAAATGGTGAATTTGATGTTGAAACATACAGGCAGAGACTTTAATGAGGTTAAAGCTCTCTCAAGCTTCAGCCAGTGGACATGGGAAAGGATGAAACTATCAGGGGGAACTTTTCCAGTGAGAACAGAAGATAGACTATGGTACTTGGAAACTCAAGGGTGAGAGTTGGGAAAGTCTGAGGAGAAGGGAGTTAGGATGATGGCCAGGGAAGCATGGCATCGTGGACATAAGAGAGAAACAGTTTAAGGAAGGTGTGGAGGTGGTATTGATGTCCTGGCCATCAGGGGAGATGAGGACCACAAAGAGACCATTGGTTGTGAGAATGAGGAGCAGGGGGATCTATGGGCAACCTTCTAAAAGTGAGTAGTTTCAAGATAAAAATACTGACTTTTGCATTTCAAGATCTGAAAGAAGCAATGAACCACATATTAGGTGCTTTAGGAAATTAAATAAAAGAATATGAAGATAAGCCCAGGAAAATCTCCAAGGACTCAGAAGGAAAGGGATGAAACTATTAGGGAAAAAGAGATGAAAATATTAGGGAAAAGAAGGGAGAGAGAGAGAGAAAGAGGGAGAGAATGAAAAACACCAATAAAATCCCACAAGAAAAATGTATATAGTGTTTGATACATCTAAGAACTGGTTCTAATTAAAGTAATAAGTAAAAAAAAAAACAAGCATAAATACAGTAAAAGAAGACATAAAATCATCTACACTTTCTTTTCCTTTTTTTTTTTTTTTTGCAAATAACATAATCAACTACATGAGAACCCAAAAAAGAATCAACTGGAATCAAATAGACTAATATTCAGCAAAGTAAGCAGCTATAAATTATACACAAAATCAGTACTTTCCTGCATACTATTAATACTAAGTAGATTTTTAAGATCCCATTCACAATTGTAACAAAAAATGTAAACTGTCCAAGAACAAACTTGATGAAAATGCAAGATTATATAAATAAAACAAAAACATTATTGATGTGTATGAGAAGGAAATATGAATAGATGGAGTAAGAGACACAGTGCTTTTAAATTGAAATAATCATTTTGCAAAGATGTCAACAAATGTTCAATTAATTTGTTTATCTGGCATAATTCCAATTAAATCCTAGATAGATATTTTGGGAACTTTACACC